TCCTGCCCCTCCCTGGTCCTCCGCCTAAGTTGTCGCAGCCAGTCGGGGAAGGTATGCTTCTGCTGTCCTACGGTCCCGTTCCAGAGCTTGGCCCATATGTGGGCCTTCTCTTGCATGATGGCCATCGGTTCCACCACTTCCAGTCCGTGAGGGCCGATCTCGACCCCTAGGGAAGCCTCAGGTCGTTGCCAAGTCTTGGAAAACTGGTGCGCCCAGCTAGCCCCTGTGTTGAGGCTCCTCTGCAGGAACTTTGCGAAGCCCTCATTCTTCTCCTTCATGGCTGCTAGACTAACTTTGGCTAGGATCTCTCCGGGTCGTTCAGCATATTCCTGATCCGATCTGGCTCAACAGGCGAAGCTCGAATGTCCGCCAGCAGCTTCTGGCACAAGTCCTGCGCCATCTCTGGGAGCTGGGCTATGCTAGTGTCAACATCTGGGTCCCGTGCCCAGTCGGCTAATTGTCTGCAGATGGCTTTCTCCTGGTTTAGCTCCTTCTCCTCCTTTCCTCTTTTGCCCAAGATGTAGAGCTCCTAGAGCCTCGACCTGATGCCTCCCCAGAAGCAGTCAACTTTTGAGAGTCCGAAGTGACCTGGAGGGTTCCCTTGGAGGACATCGGAAAGTCGGACCCTGGGGCTATCTCCCCGTCGGTGTTCAGCTGGAGTACGACATGCGCTGTTTAGAAGAAGGCCTTCTGCTTGCTTGGAAAACTGCGCGTACTTGCGGCTGAGGTCGGCGCTGGTGGCTTCCCTCCAAATACTGTAGTCCACCAGGGCCCCTGGGGGTTCGTGGTCTCGAAAACGATCCCATGGCAAGTCGGGTCCATGGGCTTGCTTTAAGAAAGGCGCCACAGGTACCAGCATGCGTGCCCGCATGGTCTCCTTGGCTATGTTGAGGGCGCCCTTGATGCCGACGCGCGGGGCCCAGGGTCCTCTGGAATCGAGTTCGAGTTCGATCAAGGCTGCCAGCTCCTCGGACACCACACCGTAGTCGAGTACGCGCCCTTGCCCCCCTGTGTTTGTGAAAGCACCTGGGGCCTGCGCAATAGTTCCGCGCACGTAGGTTGGCCAGCCTGAGTTCCACAACTGTTGCGGTGGCATCTTCCAGTCTCCCATCACCAAAAAATGCTTGCAATTTGTTCTGAGAAATCCAGCCGGCTCTGCTAAGATGAAGCCATCGGTACCAACCAAACCTTCACTGTCATTGAGATACGTATTGATCATTGTGATATCCAATATACGTATTCTCAGCGTCCTGGCCACCCACTCTGTCCCATAAAACTGTGCCTCACCATTGATCCCTGCTCTACAGGGGCATTGTACCCGTGTACGAAGCCCAGCACGGCAAAGTACCCATATTCCACCATGTCCAAGCGCTCCGTTCTGCGCTGTAGGAACTGTTGGGCTCGACGTGCATTTCCAACCTGCTTTCCGTAACTTCTTTTGGGCCTCCAAAAGCTGTCCATCTCGTAAATGGGTTTCAATCCCAAAATGTATGTCGATGTTATCCACGTGCTCCTCTGTGAGGTATGTTTACGCCGTGTCATTCCACTGGGTGTAGTTTGCCAGGTAGGAATTGATCGTCCCGTGCTCTAGCTGCTTCTCGCCATTCGGCTTCATTGTCATATTCTTCTCGCTGGTGTTAACATCGACGCCATCATTCGGCTCGCTGCGTCAATCCTCATATACTTTTGGAATGTAGTGCTTCCTGTGAACTTGCTTCTTACGCACGCTGTGTACTCGCTGCTGCCGCCTGCCTGGCTCTGCTGCTCTCCAAAACTTCGCCAATGTCCTCCTGAGTGGCTTCCACTTTTTCTGGGTGTTGGCCTGCTGCTTCGGCTGGCGCTGCCTCGTGCTGTCCTCCAGTCGCGTCTCCGTCTCGTGGTGCTTCCGCTGCTGCTGGTTCTCCTCCCGCTTGTGCTCCTTCCTGGGCCCTACGCCTGTTGGCCGCCATGTGAGTGCGCAATTATTCCATGCTGCGCCTTTTTTCCTCCAGATCATTTGCCGACGGCCGAATAGCCTGCCCGATGAGCTTGCATACTTTTCGCAGCAGCCCTTTTTATGATTGCGCCACTGTTCCAATTCCTTTGGGCTGATGTCATATTCCTCTAGCTCGAAAACCTCGCCATCGTCGAAGGCGATGATGCGCTCGGAGTCACCGTCCTCCTTGATGACCAGCAAACTGGACAAGTTGATATTGGTTGTTTCTTTTTTGCGGAGGCTCTTGCTCTTTGAGCGATTGTTTAAGCAGTAGCTGGTGGTGTGCCTCCGCTTCCGCAGCCAACTGTGCCTTCTCGAGAGTGTCGTGGTTTGCTTTTTCCAGCCAGTCCTGGCAGATACCTTCTTGCGTGACGGCATAGTCCAATGCTTCCCGAGCGTTCCCGGCCTGGACACTTGCATGGTGAAGATTTGGCTCCCGTTCGACATCAGGTCTGGTTGTTTTTTTCGTCTTGGCGGCCGTTGCATATTGGAACGATATTGCCAGCGCCTCGATGTATTTTTTACCTTCACCATTGTGCTGCTCGTTTTTGACGCGGTCCGCCAGGGCCGCCAGTAGCTCCTCGTTCGTCGTACCGAAGGGTGACTTGGCGTCCAGGATTGGCTTCCAATTTCCTTTCTCTGTGCTGTTTGTGAAGGGGCTGTCTCCTGGGCCGCTTTGGTCTTGAACCCAAAGGCTAGCAGGGGGTCCGTGGCGCCACTCCCCTCGTACATTGTGTTCCCCATGCCATGGAGCTGGACGCATCTGACCGTTGCATTTCCAGCACTTCGCGTGTGCTCGCCAGTTCCACTGATAGCGACAAGAGGAATGAGGGCACGCCACATAGCCCTTCTTGACCATGGGATGGAAGTCGTAATGGATGCTGTGCTCCCTCCAGGAGCTCACTGAAAGGGTACCCTGATGGCTAACTGGCCGCGGGTTCGCTGATGGAGGCGCACCTCCACCACGCCAAAGCCAAGCCCTGAGCCTAACCACTACGGACTTGAGCCAAAATGGCTACGGCCTCCTCCTCATCCTCCTCCTCCTCCTCTCTCCTCTCTCCTCTCTCCTCCTCCTCCTCCTCCTCCTCCTCCTCCTCCTCCTCCTCCTCTTCCTCCTCCTTCTCCTTCTCCTCCTCCTCCGCCTCATCCTCCTTTCTCCTCCTCCTCCTCCTCCTCCGCCTTCTCCTCTTCTCCTCCTCCTCTGCCTCCTCCTCCTCCTCCCTCCTCCTCCTCCGCCTCCTCCTCCTCCTCCGCCTCCTCCTCCTCCTCCTCCTCTCTCCTCCTCTTCCTCCTCCTCCGCCTTCTCCTCCTCATCCTCCTCATCCTCCTCCTCCTCCTCCTCATCCTCATCCTCCTCCCCCTCCTACCCTCCTCCTCCTCCTCCTCGGGTCGCTTACGGCCCCAGGGGAAACGTGCAGCCGTGCCGGTGGTAGGGGTTCCTGGCACCGGCATCGCTCGAAGGTGTGCATCGTGCTTCGCTGCAAGGGCCATCGAGGTTGCATTTTGGGGCCATGTTGCGAAGACAGGCACGCACGGAAGCGAAGGATGCACGGGGAGTGGTCGGAGCGTTGGCGAGGGGCCCCGAGGGGTCCAGATTCTTCGTCATGGTGGGGAGTGGGTCCTGAGGGAAGCGGGTCCTGAGGTTCAGAATCCGGGCGAAGGCTGGCAAACCCGTGGCTGCTAAAACGGAGCTCCAGGAAATGATTTGCTTCCTTCCGGGAAGCAGCCCGTTTACTATTTCGTGCGCTGAGCTTGATTCCGAGAATCTGTTTTTCTTCTTCTGTGAAGACCGTTTTAGCAGCCACGGATTTGCCAGCCCTCGCCCAGCTTCCAAGAGGGTTATTCGCTGTTCTCAGGCTCTTGGGGCCCTCGACGGGCCTTGGGAGTGTCAGAAGGAGACTCGGGATGAAGATTTCGTCCTGGTGGAAGGTCCTGGGGTCCATGGCCCGTTTCCCTCAGGACCCGTTTCCCCCATGCTAGGGATTGCTGGTCGGGCTGTGGGATTGCCGATTCGTGTCTCGGAGGTTTCCGGTCGTAGGCTTGTCAGGGACACCCAAGTAATCTTTGGCGAAGCAGGGCCAGGAATCAGAAGACAGTCTCACGGATGTGGCGTCGCGCGCACTCAGTTATCCACTTCGTCATCTTTCTCCTCATTCTCCTGCGTGCCCTCCGTACCCCTATCTGTCCCTTCACCACATTGTCCATCTTTATACGTCTCCCGCAGCACTCCTCCGAATCCTTCCTCACCAGTTCGCCATCACCGCTCACAGCCAGTCATCCTCGTCATCAAATTCCTGCCTTCCTCTTTTCGTTCCTCCTAATTGCCTCCCCCCCTTGTCTGTATTTGACGTATGCCTCCTTCCTCCCTTCGCTTCCTCCTCGAAGCTGCCTCATCCAAGCTTCCCCTGTCTTTCCCTCCCTGCCTTGTGCGTCTTCTATCTCCTTGATTCCCTCCCTGATTCCCTCCCTTTTCGATGAGCGTTGAGTTTGCGACCACCGTGCCTCGCATGGTACCGCCCCCCCCCCCAACCCAAGAAACTGAACCCACGGGCCCCCTCAAGCCCGCAGCGCACTGCGAGACCACTGCCTCCCTCCTCCCTTCTCCCTCCCTCCACCTCCGTCCCTCCCCACCCTCCCGCCTCCATCCCCGCTCATTCCTTCTCTTCCATCCCCCATCCTCCCTACCACTTTCCCCCCTCCTGCCCTGCTTCGTCCCTTCCCCACCTCCCTCTTACATCCTCCTCCGTCCTTCTGATCGCCATCGGTCTAGCTGTCAGCGACAGCGAACCCCCAGAAGATGCCCCAGCAAGTCCGCCGAATTAGCTGGAGCATCTTTTGGACAAGGGTTGGCCCGCATGCGATTGCATACCAGTGCAAGTGGAGAGGCAGGGAATTGTGTGTTCCTCTTCGCAGGCAGCGCTTTTTTGCAAAAGCCCAAAGCGTCCTCCCCCTCCCTCGCACATTCCCTCTCTCCTCCCTCGTCCCTGCCCTCTCCTTCCCCCCTCTCCCCCTCAGCCGCCCGCAGGCTCTGTCGGGGCGATTCCGACGGCGACTGGGGTCACCGCTTGGGGGGGCGCGTCCTCTTTCTTCAGTCAGGCCTGGGATCGGAATAGATCGCTCCAGAGCGTTCTGGAACATTCTTCGGGCTGGGGCCACGGCGGGTAGGAATTAGGCGCGCGGGTCCGTCCGCGGGACGTGCCGAGCCAAGAATTCTATAAAACGGGCGCGTGGGATTTGAATCGGGTCTGTCTGCTGGAAGAACGGGCCGAGAATTCAAGAAAGTTGGACCAGGCCCGAATGTGATCCAGAATCCGCCCCCCCTTCTTAACCCGTGCACGGCAACTGAATCCAATTAGGGTTACGGGCGCATTGCAGGAATCATGTGATACGGCCCTAAACAGGCCCATCTCCCCCCGTCGTTTCGGTGAACCGCGCTTTTGCCGTTTTCATCAGCAGGAGGCAGTTGATGTTGTGGAAAATGGCAAAGAAATCGGCCCTGCCACTCACAGGGCCCACAGGGACTGGAGGCCTCTCGAATGGCGGCTGCGGCCTTTTCGGGGGGGGGGTATCTTGGAGAGCTGCTTCGGGCTTCCTGGGCGACCCGCGTTGCCACCACGCGGGGCTCCCCAAATCCTTTCTTCATGCTTGCAAGCTTCTAGGACGAATTTGCGCGGCGCCAAGGCGAGATCCCCATGAAAACGACGTCCAAGGTTCAGAACTACACGGTGTTTGGCAACTTCGTAGACCGTTTTCGTTCTGATTTCGTTTCGCGGCTAACGGCATAACGAAGGCAGACCAGAATCAAACGAAAGCGAAAAACACTGTTTAGCTCGAGCCCTGCTCCATTCCAGAGACCGCTGCAGGCCCTCGAGACAAAAGTGTGGGCCGCGCGCCTGCGAGAGGCCCCACTCTGAGCACACGACGCGCTCTGCCCGCCTGCCCGTCTGCCCGGATATCCGACGATGTGGTTTTTGTTCCGTCCGTCAGTCTCGTTCGAGCGATCCCCAGTCCCCATCCCCAGCCACATCTCGAGCCCCACCATCTCACCACCTGAGTTGGGGATATGCCCCTCGAAACCCGAAGAGAGCACCATATATCCCCGTCCAGGGGGTAAGTCGGGCAGTGGGGCCTAACCCACGCTGGTGGGGATGGGGATCGGGTAAACGATGCTCAGTCCGCAGCTACAGATCGCTCCAGAGCGTTCCGGAGCCTTCTTCGGGCTGGGGCCACGGCGAGCAGGAATTAGGCGTGGGCCGCGCGCAGGCGAGAGGCCCCACTCTAATCCTCCTCCTCCTCCTCCTCATCCTCCTCCTCCTCCTCCTCATCATCATCATCATCATCATCTTCCTCCTTGGGTACCTATACTCCTCCTCCTCCTCCTCCTCCTCCTCCTCCTCCTCCTCCTCCTCCTCCTGCAGGTGGCCCGAGTCACCACCACACCACCCCAGCCACCCACAGAAAACATAATAACATCGCAGCAGCAGCGGGCCATGTCGTTTCCTTCTCGAGAATAAAACCGCGCGGCGGCGGCTCTGTCTTGCGAGCTTCATGGGCGGCGAGAGCGGGCTGATGAGAGCTGTCTGCTACAACCCGTGCGCCGCCAGGACAACGGAGAGGTTGCAGGACATTATTCAGGCGCTACCGAAGCGGGACATATACGCGCTCGTAGGCACACAATCTAAATCGTATGGTGAGCAGGTCAACGAGATTCGCACGATTGATAATACCTGGACGATTGAATTTGGGCATCGGAGAAGCGCTTATGTAACAGCTGCTTGTGGCATCAGTTCCCTTGTTAAACGCTCGAGATTTCCACGGTCGGCGCTTAAACGTATCTACTATACGCCCACAGTGTTGCGGGGACGATGCGCTGTAGTTCGCAGTGTACTTCCCACCGCGCCAGACGAGCACCCTGCTGAGACGTACATACGAGGAGGCTTGCCATAGTATGGTGAGGTGGTTGCAGGAGACAGTGGAAGAGATGTCGCGCAAACGGATCATACCCTTCTGTGCATGGCTTTGAATGGCGGGCTCCCCAGCAACGGCGAGGACACAGCTGCTGGACCATATGGGTACGGCAAGGAGAGCTGCGCGACCACTCAGTTACGACCTTGCATGTTTGGCCAGGGGTTTACTGCGGCAAACACTCACTATGTGAATACACCCCGCTATGTGGGAAACAACAATGCCAGCTACATCGACCACATACGAGTTCGAGTGGAAATGGTTGGCTGAATCGAGCGATGCAATTGATTATGAGAGATTGGGAGACGTCTTCAACTACACGATGTCGGCGACGTACGCGACCACAGACCAGTCCAGGTCGTAGCAAGAGCGGTCACCACCATTCGGCCGCTTCCTGAAAGAGCCCCACGTCCCGATCAAGAAGCGCTGTTCTGCTGCCTTCAGCAAGGACACAAACGCCTCGAGCTCTACGACGTGATGGACAAGAAGTGTCTCGAGAGATATAACGAGGTGGACGAGTTAGAGACTCAGGACAAGTTGGAGGGCGTGAGTACCACATTCATTAGTGGCAGTGCTTCACGCGAGTCCATTATACACAGAAGATCGACAACAACAAACGGAGATATTGAATCAGATGTTGGAATATCGGTGCACTATGAGATATCAACGATCCTGGGCTGATAGCATAGACATCGCCGGGTCTCGATCCAAAGAAATCAAGCGAGTGAGCAAGACATCGGTGGACAAGAAGCGATGATACTGGGATGCGATTGCTAAACGACGCTGCGAGGATATGAGCAAGGCTCCTACATATAACAATGGATACCCCGTCCAACGACTGGCAATATTAATTGTAGGAAGACGGCGAGGACCGCGACAGGAGCGCTGCTGGATGGTCTGCACGAGTGAAGTTATCAAGCGCTCGCGGCGGTTGCTCCGCGACTCCATCTTGCATGGGTGAGGTCATATCCGAAACCGTGGAGGAACAACGTGATGAGCTAACAAACGATGAAACTATGGAACTACCAACGGATGGTTGGAACGGGATGCACATGACCAAATGGAGGATGAAGTTGCGGAGAGCATGCCAATCATGGTCAGTACTTGTAGAGGCGCTGCGACTTAGCACGAAGCCAAAGTGGGCCAACCCGAGACCTCTCACCGCAAACAGGCATCGGAGCTGGAGATGTTGAGTCCCAGGGGCCCAAAGTCTTGGAGGGCCTTTTGAGAGCTATACTCTTCCCCTCGCGCAAATTTACCGCGAGCATCTCTTGCGCGGCGCGCGGCTCAGGGGGCCCGACCCCCCAAAAGGCAACGGCAAGATTGCGGTTGGCGGGGAGAGAGTCATAATGAATATGCGCACCCTTGGACGTACTTACCACGCAGCCGCCCTGCGAAGGAAGTCGGCCCCATGGCAGCCAGAGGAATGAATTCATGGCGGACGACAGAAGGGGCGACGTGAAGCTGCCATGGGTTCTCAACTCATCTTATCATACAGACTTCAAGCGGCACGAGCACCGCCTTTGGCGACGGTTCACGACGCGACCAATGCTTTCTCTAGCCTCAAACAGGAGCGGGCCCTTGAAATGTTCCCCACGCTGCGTGCCAATCAAGACCTACAATGCGCGCGAGACAGAGCATTGCGAGGCATTTTTCTTTTAGAGGACGAGTCTGGCAGCCCCTGGCGCCCCCCGCATGCAAGAGCATGTCCTGGACGCGGGCGCGACTTTGATTTGCGCGAGAATGTTTGGCCCCCCCGGTGCAGGTAGCCATTGCTGATTCATTTGCGATTGAGAAATGGCTTCGCGCAGTTGAGGTCGAACCTCCCTGGAGCGACAGCCTCATGCCGCAGATGGCGCTCACGGCGTTGGCCGACGATATGTAGCGTAAAGATTTAGAAGCCAATCATCCAGGCACAGTTGTCGAAAAGCTCGAGGTCGGCAGCCGCCCGGAGAACTCAGCCGCAGACAAGGGCACGGGGGAGGTAGGGGCCACGCAAAACACCAGCGAACAGGAGAACGTAGCCCACCCACGAGGAGATGGAGCACACATAGCAGCACGAATCAGACACAAGCACATCACACAGATCGCAGGACGAACTAAACATCATGCACGCTATCTCGGGGGACTTCAGGCGAGCAGTTTCACGCCCAAGCCCGAACTTGAAAAGCTACTTCGGGCTCTCCAGGCGAGTTATTACTCCACGGGCGGGTCCTGGAGGTCTCCTGGCAATGTTGGAAGCGGTCCATGGTAAAGGGGTTATTAGTGCACGCGGCACTCAGTGGCTTGGAAGTTCGTGTGAAAGGTCACCCACCTCTTACAGGTGGAGATTTGGCCTCGCTCGAAGGATTCATTGCACGCAAATGTCGCGCAAGCCAGGGGGGGCGCAGCGTCCTGGGATAATGAGCTACAGCATGTCAGCACCATAAGCTGATTGGGTGTGTTAGGAAGGTTCCGACCCGCACCGCCGTGCACAGAGCTGCGCACCAGGCGGCTGAAGCGGCTTCAGACCACGGCGCAGAATCGAGACCAGCACATTCAGTTCTCGCCCACTTGCTTCGGAAAGACCGCTCTAGATGGAGACCTTTTTCGGGGGGGGGGGATCGGCGGGGCCCCTTGCGCACCCAATGTCCTGGAGGCTCTGCAGGAGCTGGAGGCGGGGGAGACGACGTGGGACAGAGGAGGAAACATGCGAAACATTTCGTTCGAGGACCTGGATGATTTCGCCAAGGTCGAATGCAATGAACGACGAGCAAAGCTTTTTGCATCGCGCACGCCATACACACATAAACCACATCACAAAGAAGGCAAGTAAGTATGCACGGAGACATTAGCAGCTGCTAGGATATGCAATTCTCGCATGGCCATCACAGCACATGCCAACCAAGCACATCGCCAACACGACAGGAGGCAGTCATGGGCAACTACATGTAGGACGCATACTCACCACTACCAACATGTGCGCGTTATGCGACAGCTTGTTCTTGTGTATGAAGATTGCGAAGAAACATGTTGCAGACAGCCTTAAACGACAGTGCTGCCCATGTAATGGGGGCAGGTACGCATGTGAAGTAGTTCCTCCAATAAACATGACATACCCGATGCGTGGCGAGAGTTTCGGCGTGGTGGAATTATGGTTCAAGCATTGCTGAGATCATCTGGAACCGTCGGTAGCTCCCTCTGTTCACGTTCGTCAGTTAGTCAAGCGCGAGAACGTAGCTCCATCGCAGCGGCTCTTACTTCGAGGACGTGCGCCTTGGGCTAAGTTACTTGGTCCATGTTGGGTTCCAGAACTACACGCGAGACATCATGGGAGTGGAGGCAGCGGCAGCAGTGTCAGGGCAGAGGTCCTGGCTGATTCGGGATCGCAGCAAGAGCTTCGCGATGGCGGGCAGCCAGCGCAAGAAGCACAAGGCGAAGGGCCAGGATAATGAGGACGAGGACATGGACGACGACACAGCCACCCTGCCGATGAAGAACCCCACAGTTCAGTTAGAGGCGAGAGTAAGGCTAGTGGAACACGAAGCCCTGGCGACAGCCATATTGGACAGGCAGCACCAAACAGCGGCGGACGTCAACAAGGCTTACGCGGAGTACGCCAAGGAACGCAAGCAGGACCCAACCACGAACCTTGGCTCGCCAGCGTGATAGTCAGTCTACGCGATTCTAACCGTTTCAGGCAAACGGCAGTATCGGTGCACTTCGGCGAGGATATTGCGACTCAAGCTCGCAGCAGGTCGGCTCACGCGGATGGCGGCAAAGGCAGGGCCAGATCTGACAGGCCAGCGGGCGCGAGAAACAGCAGTCTCCCCGTGCTTCGACCAGCCCAACAAGCCCAAGAAGCTTCGCCTTGTTGTTCAGCTTGCGAGGGCCAACACTGGTGCCAGAAGGGGAAGGGGCGGCCAACGAACTGCTCAAGGCCATCGAGGAAACAGACAGCCAGCTGCACCAACATACGCCCCTGGAAATGCCGACAAGTTTTTACACATTGAAGGGCAAGATCATGGACGTCGAGACGATCGTAGCTGAACTCACCAGGGCAACTGGAGGCAAGGTTACTGCCAGCAGAGCACCTCGAGGCAAAACAGCGCGCAAGCTTATGAAGAAGTGTGAGTAGTGATGTTTCCACCCTTGGTATTGCTACTCTACGGCGCCGAGAATATTGTGACTTCTACCTTTACTAACTCCAGATGCTTCGGCATCCGTGAAGGCGGTGGGAGTGCCGCGCCTGGAAACAAACAACCAAGCGCCCCACGTGCGAAGCACCCACCTACACTGACGACCACTATCCTACATCACCTATACTTGCTGGAGCATGATACTCGTGCATGTTGGAGTGGATTAGTTCTCGCATTGAAGGAGGCTTGCGCCATAATGCGCCCGCTCTTAGCTATATCCATCTCTGTTTCCTTTCGGGCACCACGGGACATCTGAAGTGCTGGTGGCTTCTTGGGCTCTGAGGCACGGCAGCTGCGTTGCCCTCGTGAGCGTCTTGAGTCCCACTCTGATTTTTTCCTGGCACCAGAGTCCCGTTGCCCCTTCCCCAGGACGCGCGTGCATTTTGGAGCTTTGTCCCTACGAGATCGGGCTCGTCTCAGCGCGGCGGCACGTCGTCTACGACTTCCTTTAGGCTCCGCCGCTCTGCCCCTTGTCCGACCGCGCATCGAGAGGTGCGGGTAGACTTGGAAAGGCATGAGATAAGCGACAGGCTGTATCCCTCCCCCAATATGTGCCCTGCCCGTTGAGTTCAACGGCCAGGCCCCCGCGCAGGCGACGAAGCGTTGCACTTGCCAGCGCGCGCGGCTCCTCGAGCCAGCAAGATGAATGGGGCACAGATATGGTATATCCCCCCCAGGTTCTGTGAGAATGAGGTTTGGTAAGACATTGAACTGAATGGGTGAGAGCGAGCGAGGTCCTCCTCCTTCCGCCTCCTCCTCCTGCCTGTCTGCCCGGACATCCGACAATTTGGTTTTCGTTCCGCCCGCGGCGACAGATCGGCGGCGAGCGAGGGGGGGGAGGGCGAGAAGGAAAAGGCCTGCTCGGAGGGCGGTGGGGCTTCTCGGAATCCCTTCGCGCCTCCTGAGAAACGATGCGTGCATTCGGGGAAGGCTCAGGAAACTTCTCGGGGGGCCATGGGGCTTACGAGCCTTCCGCCCCTTCTCGCTTTCCCCCGCGGGCTCGCCGCCGAGCAGGGCCCCCGACATTTTCCCCGGAGGTGGGTTCTCGTACCAGGGGGCCATGATTGAGGGCCCCAGGGCTTGAACACGGGCCCCCGAGGCCGCAATCGAGGAAAGGGCACGGGAATGGAAGGGTCAGGTCTTCGGGGATCTGGGTAGCTGTCTGCCCCGCCCACAGGTCGTGGGGGGTCCGTGGGAGCGGGGGGGCGTTCCAGGTCTTGCTGAGCCGCAACGTGTCCGTGCCCTTCCTGCTCCGGCAGCTGGGCGGCGCGACAG